GCAGCTGGTGCTATGCACTGTATTTAGCAAGGTTTAATAGAAGAAATGCACAACAATGTGGTTGAATGTTCTGGACATGTTCAGATGCAATGACGTCCACAAAATTATAATGTCAAATGATTTACTGTATGCTCAGCAGTACAGTCAGAGTTTATTGTATACTGAGATATATGTATTTCATTCTGGTGCACATACTTGCACTATACAGGGACAAAACTATTGGGACATGTGGCCATCTGACTAGTGCATCAGTAATTCATCCAGAGTAGAAGGGACCATATGTAAGTGTGCCAAACAAGACATTGTGTTTCATCGAATACACATGGAAGCCCGAAGTGTGAAAACCGGCTTCCAGACACGACTTTCCCAATGTCAGAAATGAAATCAGGCATCAGCCACAACTTGCTTCCTTTTCAGATGCTCGTTTATCACCCGCTGTGAAAGGGAGGTTTGCATCGTATCGACTCTGTTGCGAACACCGTTTAGCCATTGCACTGTGTTACCCGCAACACTTCTATTTACATCACGGATGACCTGAATTACAACTACTGCCCATGCAAGTCAAGGCTTACAGCCAGCTGGAAAAGCGAGAGACAAGGCAGGTTCGACAGAAAAACAACACGCCAAATAAATAAACCTATAAATAAATGACCCATCGACTATTATATTAATTGTCAACAGTCGTCATAGCTTGCAGACTAATCTTCGCAGCCCTAATTTATATGCACGTTTATTTATTTACTTGATCAACATTCAGTAATGCTGCTTTGTTCCTTCTCCCTCTCAGTTAACTTGCTTGGCACTAAAGATGCACACAATGCATACAGCTTTGAAACAGAAAGACGGAAGGAATGAGCGTACGCAAAGTGAAATTTTCTGACAGCTGTCGCTGTATGATTACAGAAAACTGAGCATCCTAAATATAATTCATTACAAACACTGATGACACAGGGACCGTGTGGGTTGAAACGTTTCAGATTCAAGACAGATAAACACGGAGTGTCCGCTAACGTCAGTGAACTGGCATCGCATTTATATGAAGACAGTCGCAACACAAGAAACCTCAAAGTCCATTTAAAACACAACCCTCCCATCCAATTTCTTCAAATGGAAAGAAAAAAACACAGCAGGATAGTGCTTCGAGAAATGGATTTTGATATGCAGCACAATTTACCTAAAATAAAAATTTCCATTGCACAACCAGGTGAAATTGGGACATTCGAAAGGAGATGAGAGATCTCTCATTTTAGTCTGCCACGTCAGAGATGTGGCTGTATGTGTCAGGGACATTTCAAAAACAGCTTACCTTCATGTAACGAAGCAATTGACTCACATGATCTTCAATCTATCCATCCATCCGTGTGTGTGTGTGTGTGTGTGTGTGTGTGTGTGTGTGTGTGTGTGTGTGTGTGTGTGTGTGTGTGTGTGTGTGTGTGAGGTGTTGCCTACAGGAACAGTTCGCAAACAGCTACTTCATACAACTGAGCAATAATTTTACATGGCTTTCAATCAAGCAATCAATTAATTAAGCCATCCGTGTCTGTCAGTCAGTTCATCCATTCATGTCTGTCTGTCTGTCCATGTGAGGTGTTGCTATCGGGGACATTTCAAAAACAGCCTACCCTCATGCAACTCAGTAATTGTCTCACATTATATTCTATCTATCCAGCTATCATTAAATGTGCTTTTCAAAGGACAACAGTTATCTTGTACATGGATTTTCACTATATTCGGGGGGTCCCTATCTCTCGCAAATAATGGGGGTCCACTCGATCTCTATATATATATAGAGAGAGAGAGAGAGAGAGAGAGAGAGAGAGAGAGAGAGAGAGAGAGAGAGAGAAAGAGAGAAAGAGAGAGAGAGCAATATGTTTTCCTCATTAGCATATTTGGTAATTCCGTTATCCATTATTTCAAAGTAATTCAAATTACTTTAATATTACGATACTGGGATTACATTATAAACTACATTTTTAACAGGTAACTAGTAACTGTATCGGAATTCATTTTAAAAGTAACCCTCCCGACCCTGGTTAAGAGGCACTGCCGTATACTGCACATTATGATGACTCTAATCAAGGTACGTGACACACAGACAGCCCATGATCATTTAAAACCAATGAAAAGACCTAGGTCTTATATTTCTATACTTCTGGATACTGATATGCTGATGATGCATCCTGATAGATTTTGTTCTCACCTTGAATCCACCCTTTAGCTGTTACATACTTTTGAAGCCCTGCCACTACATGAGTAAATCCATGTACAGCTGTTGCAAACAAATCAGTACATAACCAACATCGAATCCAACCCGCTGTCACGAGCAATAAATAACTAAATTAGCCTTAGTATCATCTCCATGCTCCTTAAGTTTGCTGCACATTTACTTTCCCTCACTTTGAACAATCACTGGAACAGAACAGTGAGCTTCTCAAATGTCGAGGCCAAGGCAGCTGATTGAACTGCACTGTTTAATCACCCTCCCTTTCTACAGGCAAAGATAATTGCAGTTCCAAATGGTGTACCGCAATCATAATAATACACATGCGGTTCAAAAAAATACCATGGTTAGACACACTTCCATTTCATTATTCAAGCAGGATCTGCAGAGCATTAATCCCACCAAATTTGACCTAAACAGGACAATGGCAGTTTAACACAAGTAGGGGGTAGGGAGCTCTAAAGCGCTGGGTATTTGAAATGTCCATTTGAATTCAAATTAAGTGCCCGTTAAGTACTGCACAAAAATGTCTTTGTGGTGTGCAGTATTTGCCTTACATTATTGGATTAGTGCAATTAACTGCTTTTAGTTCAAAACCACCACACAGTCATGCTATTTTTTTGTAAGAAAAATAAAATCATACAATTGATAGACTGTAAAAATGCCCTACAAAATTAGTGGGATTATACACACGCTGATTTTCAGGAAAATGACGCAATGCAAAGCAGAATTAATAATGTAGCTACATAGTGGTGTCATAGTGGAAGAATGCAGGTAATATTGAAAATATAATGCACCACAAAATACGACAACAGAGACACATACTTGATTTCCAACTGAAGTCATAAGCCAACCATGTTTTACGAAACTGTTTGAGTATGTTTTGAATGAGATTTACAAAAATCTTTGTTTTGTACTGCATTGAGTGGAATCTGGAGAACTGCCCCTCAAAAGTTGCGCAAAAACTGAGAGTTGTCACATCAGCAAATCTGCAAGACATCAGTTTAGTGAACATCAAAACGAACACTTCGACTAAAAGCAACTTTTTTTTTCTTCCTTTGTGTTTTTGTAATGCCACCAACAAAGAAGGCTAAGGTACCAGTGATGGCCAGCAGGAACGGTGTGATGATATCCATGGGGTGTGTATCTCTCTAGTTAGCTCAGTGAAATATAGCTGAAGCAACAAAAAAAAAATGACATCAATAATAAAAGCAGAACGGAATGTACGTGGAAGAGTGCGCTGTGTTTGGTGTTTACGTGAGTATATTCCCAGGCTCAAAGAAATCAACCGTCTTACTCAGCACTTGGATCACTGCTATGTGTCACACTGAAAGAAGACTAAGAATTTTACACTTATACTGCACAGCACTGAACTTATTTCTAAACTTGTATGGCAGTCATCTAAGTTAAAATGTGATAAAAAACTTTTTGCTTCAGATTTGATCAATTTAAGAACAGACTGATGCTTATCGTAAGACAATGCTCTTTTTTCCTTTCATTTAGGATTGTCGTGGGAAAAAAAATCTCTGAGCAATACTGCATTTTTCACTGTTTGTACAAAAACATTTATTTTGCATTTACTCATCTGTATTAAGATTATTTTGTTGAGTAGTAATTTTCGGGGACTGTGATTTGTAGGGGTTTAATGATTTTTTTGACCGATACGATACATATCAACATAAGGCCTAATGATTCGATACAAAACAATATATTGCACATTTTGAACGATACAATTTGATACAATAAGAATATATATATATATATATATATATATATAGAGAGAGAGAGAGAGAGAGAGAGAGAGAGAGAGAGAGAGAGAGAGAGAGAGAGAGAGAGAGAGAGAGAGAGAGAGAGAGAGAGATAAACACAACCAAATGCATGATGTCTTAAATCTACTCCTCCTCGCAGCCATGATCTGTGTTGCATGTTGACGTGATTCCCCGCTACCGGCCGAATATGACATAAATTAGCGAAAAATGAGTAGAAAAATAACTTCGATTAAAAAAAAAAAAAAAGGATATTCGAAATTTGGGGTATAAAATTTTTTGGTTTTTCATGTCGATTAAACCAATCAATTACTTATAAAAATGAGGTTGTGTCAACGTGTGGCCAGCATCAATGTACTGAGGCTGAATCGCAGGACAGACACATTGACACATCGATGGAATAGATGCATCGTAACACCCCTTGTGATTAATACAACACTAGTAAGAAGCAAAGCATTATCAGGCTGATGAAATTAGTGCCCCTGAAGCGATCAATCTAACACTAGTACAAAATGTATGTACAGTACTGTATGTACAAAAACAAACAAATAGGTGCAATTACCAATATTATACTCAGTAATCTTGTGTAAACTTGTACTTTTGAGGCTGAGTATATCTTTGGCAACGGTAAAACAGCAGAGTAGCGATTAAGCAAGACTGTGCAACTTTGAGGGCCATTGCATTAAAATGTCGCGAACCAGACTGTCCACCACTGCTATTGTGTGTGTGCTTCTGCTGTGTCAGTTTCAGGGCGGGAGGCCCAGATGTTTGTTTTGGAACACCTCAATAGATGAATTTGGTCAGTTGACAACACACATGCTGATACAGCATGTTGGTCCACTACTGTCTTCAGAATAGCTGCTTAAATTGTAGTGGGTATGAATGTGTTTTTGAAAAGCTTTTAATTTGAGATGATGTTAGAGTTGGATATCATGCAAACAGTGTCAATTGTTTTTTGTTAGAGTTGGATATCATGCAAACAGTGTCAATTGCAATTTAACTGAGTTTCTTACCTTTTGGTCCACTATAGAGCACACCAGGTCCTTGACGGCTGACAGTGTTAGGTCATTGCCCTCCAGGTTCACTGTCTCTCTGGTCAACCCAATTTGCAGCAGGAAAGACACCCCATGGAAAGAGCTTCGGGAGTTGGTGGGGCTGGGGACACTGTGGTTTCCGTTGGACAGCCGCGCGTAAAGCGGTCCAGCCGAGGATGGGGACAAAACGGGTGGCAAGGTCGGGTGGTGCGGATGGAGAGAGTGGAGGAAGGCTCGAGGTAAGGATGGGGGAGAAGAGGCAGACATTGGCTTTTTTCCAAAAGCGACGTGTAACGCTGAATACTGGAGAGTTCAGTGACAGGATTTATGCCGGGGAATACTTTTGGTACTCATGAGTTTAGTGAGTCAGCATTGTACAGTATGGTTTTCCACTGTGTCACCTTAGATTTGCAAATCAGGGGGCACGCCGTTGATTCCACCTGAGCTCACACACTCATTCACAAGATGGCAAAACAACTTGGAAGAAGTCTCTGGAATATTACTGGAACAAATGTCATATCGTGAAGTGGTGCTCCTTGGCTTTAGTGAAATCACTGATCCACTCTGACCACAGGAAGCCTGTCACCAAAAACAAAAATAGGCACGTTTGTAATTTAAAGAAAGCAAGTATCTACACTTACTAAATATAGAACAAAATGAGGGTTCCGCCTATTTTTTCATATCACTAATTTTGCATATTCGATATTACACAATTTACATTCACACCAAAAATAACCCCACAAACTACAAACATTACAAAGGACACATTCCCCAGTGCATAACCCTCGAGCAACGATTCTCAATACGAGGAGCCCCTTTGGCAGTACTGTATATAAAAGAATCAGACTTAAATACATAAACTGTGCATAAAGTTAGAGCGAATACTCTACACTACAGTAAATACAGTAAATTTGTTAATTACAGTTCAATTGTATTTATAATATTTAATAATAATTTATCATAAAGATGTGTTGTTTTTATCGTTTAAGTACAACATATTTTTTCATTAGGTACAATTTATATTTAATTTTTATGTGCAACACAATAGAAGATTATTTAAATATTATTTTAAATCCAATTTTAAAGTGCAGTGTTTATGTTTTACCGGTAATATTAAATATATTTTTTAAAAGGGGGTCTGCCTCATGTTTGATGGACACTTGTGCCTAAAACGCTACTATACTTTAATGTTGGTCATTATAATTTTACTGGTAGAGCAAAGTTTTTTTAGAGGTGTTCCTTGGTGTAAAAAGTTTGATTAACACTACCATAAAGCATTACTGCTTTCTTCATTAGACTAATTTCATACTTAAATATACTCAATTTGTTAATCAAATCATCTCCACATTTACTTATTTCTTGTAGCGCTCCATAGAAAAAAAGTCTCCATTGTAGCCACTCCAATTAAATATGTTATCACGAAATCTCAACTGTAATGACAACGGACTGTCTAAACCTCGAGTGAGCTTCGGGCCGTTTAGCATGCATGAAAACAATAGCGTGGTGAATTACGGTTTGGGGACACACAAACATCCAATATGTGAAAGAATTCAAGTCATCTACATCTGGAATTAAATATTGCAAACATGAAAATCGTCCCAACTTCGATCGATACGCTGGCATAACAGAACCCGAGGAGCGCACACAATAACAACTTAATAAGTTACACAAGCTTGAATATGCACGTCCAGCGGACATTTCGCTTCGGTGGAACTTTATGCCTTTCCAAAGACAAACGACTGTTTGGATGGTGCTTTAAAAGCGATACTTTACCTTCACAGTCAGCGAAGGACGCATTTCTTTCCAATGCGAGTGGACCGAACAAACTTTGAATCTCCATCAACTGCGGAAAGCGGCGTCTCAAGTCTTAACTTGCACTTGGCTAAAATTCGTCGAGGAGAGCCCAACTTAAATAAAACAAACACAAAATCAAAAATTCGTGTAAAGGCTTGCTATGACCAATGAAAGCGTCCATTTATTTTTCTCTTATCGTTTTTCAGATACTGTAGTAAATTCATGCGCATCTTATTATCCTTCCAGCTGTGACTACTCCCCCTGTTACATTAGAGGGGAATACAGTGACGCTCGCTGGGAGTTGTAGTCTTTTTATAGCGTCCCTTTAATAGACTTCGCACTTTGACTGCAAAATCTGAACTACAAACCCTGGAACAATGGCGCTACTGAGGAACCAACGACACTGCGCACGCGCAGATATTTTCCGTTATTTCAGGTTTATCCATTTCAGGAGAAACAAATGTTGGTTCCCGTGACTTAGATATGTTCGTAACACATTTGAGAATGTAACAGTCACCGATGGGCTATGAGCAGGCGTCACCGTTACTTCAGCGAATTAATTTAGCATTTTTAGCCTGTTTAACAGTGATTTTCCTTTTCCATTCATGGATCGCATGGAATCGAGATAGGATAGGGCGGGGGTAGGTTTCGCTGGCCCCTTATGGCAACACGTGGAAAGATATAATTGAAACTTTATAATGTGTTCTCCAGAAAGTGAACTTCATCCAGGAGACACTAATAGTAAACAAGGGGGGGCCTCTTGCTCAAGAACGTATGCCTTAACTGCTCATCTGTTGTTGTTTTTCCACATCAATGTAAATAAATGATTTCCTCCTGTTCACACTCTGACAGGGTTTTTTATAGCATCACAAAAAAATAACACAAAGAAAACAAAGATGACAGTTTATTTTTTTTTTAGAAAACATACAGTATACATACAGGTAACATGTTAATACTGCGGGAATTTGGGGTCGATCCACTGCGCCCATGCCATCAGGCCTCCGCAGATATCTTTCACTTTGATATTGTCTACTTCTGTTCCACTCATCTTCCCCAGAATCCGCACAGCCTTCTGGGAGTCGTTGCCCATCTTACAAATCACATAAACTGGAAGAAACCACAAAGATATTTTGGTGACAGGAATTTCATTCCTGTGCATCTTTACTATAAGGGACAATAAAGTTTGTTTGCAGATCATACTCAAACACAAAATACTGTTTTGAGTATAACTATAAGTCAAGTGTTATTAAGGAGACCACACATCAAAAACAACAATTTACGGACATACAACCATCCCATGATGTAGTTGCAATGGTTAATTGCAGTAATGCCATTTAATTCTGCACTGATTCACATAATTATGTTAGTGTACAGTGGACATCAACTTTTGCATTTACTAATAAAGCAATACAGTGCGTAAGAAATGAGTGTAGTGTGCTGTACAAAGTCTCCACATCGCTGCATTTATCTGTATAGACACTGAATGAGCAAAACTGGCTCAAAATAACTTTTTTTCTTTCATATACAATCTTCCAAAGTAGACCAGCTCATCAGGTTGGTCACACTTGTTTTAGAAAAGGGGTCACCTGGCAAACCCAAGGCAATCTGGTACTTGCATTACAAAATGTGCAGCCAGCGTAGTACAGTAGTGGGAAAGTTTGAACTGTGAATATGCACCGGTTCATTCCAGACGACATGCAGATGAGGCCAGCGTTTTGTCATGTTACCTGGAGGCCAACAGACACCATCAATCTGCTGTTTCAATTGGCCAATGCGCTCCTGGAGTAACTGCATATGTTCACTCTTCTTCTCTTCTAAACTTGACAGTGGTATGTCTGGCAACAATGTTAGGAGACTGACCACAAAGATAATGGGGTTTAATCATCTCGCATCACACTAATTTATGTTTTATTTACAATTTCCTGAAGGATACTGAGAGAGCTGGGTAAATTGCAAATGTCCACCTCCACAAGAGGGCGCACATCTAACAGGAGATGGGGCTCTGCATTGTCCACAATGGATTTGTAATCCTGGAAATGCAACGAAACATTCACAAATAATATTAACCATGTCATTATGAAGGGAGCGTTTTTTTTTGTTAAGGAAATTTGATTTATATCTTTATATCGGAAATGTAAATGACTTGCAGCTAATGTGACGGAAGTAATGCACAAATTTGATTTTGTACCTTATTACAATTATTTTAACAGCTTTTCCAAAAGTCGTTGTGCTCACAACTGCTCCTAAATGGAGCCAATGTCCCAAATTCAGTTTAACTGTGATCTCCATCTCTGCGCTTAATGACCGTTGAAAAGTTCAGAATGTGTAGTCATATGCATGCGCAATCCACATGTAACACTCTGGATACAAAAACACAGTGTTATTCTTTTCTGTGGAAAACTTACTGGCCCATTTTAGCTTGTTTCCAGTGAGTGCTGTGATACAATCAGTTGATCAATTTTGGTGAATTCTGGGAGAACATTATGAGTAATGGCTGAATAAATAATGCTTAGGGAGAGATACACCGGCCAAAAAGTTGCCTACCTGCACTGTGATTCTCTGCTCTTTGGACAAGAGGTTGAGTCTGCGGCACTGAAAAAAAATGTATATTAATAACTGCATTAAACCAACTCTTCAGAAAGAATGTGGTAACTTGTTATTCGTAATATCAAGGTCAACCTTATCTGTTGCGGCAGACCCACAGAAGGCTTCGTAGTCGATTAGCTGGGTTACGCAAGGTTCTTCCCCACAGACTACACATCCCAACTGCTTGGGCCGCAACCTGATGGACCGGAACCTAGCACTTTGAGCATCAAACGTCACCAGCTGCTGGCCACAGGAAGCTTACGTGTTTGCTTAAGTAAAACACTTTGTAAAGAACAAACAAAACAAAGCCTTTGTCCCCCACACTATTTACCAGGCTCAAAGTTCTTAAACATTTCTTCAAATTGTGGCTACATTTTAACAAGATAGTGTAATGAATTAAAGGATGTGCATTTGACACCCATCAAGTGTGGAATTAAACAACCAAGTAAATCTTTTGGTTACCCTTTTCTCAAAAAGTGGTTATGCAACAGAGAGGGGCTGATTTACATTATAAGTGGCTCCACACAAGTTTCTCCATCAATTAGGTGTCAGCTACACTGGCCTGTTTTACAATGTCCATGCACCACAGTAAACACGGCAGTGTATATAAACTTGTGCCTCCATGAGTTAAAATACTTTAATCTCCGTCGACCAAAAATCCGAATGAATAACGCTCCTCCAGTATTTGCAAGGATTCCTACATTTGTGACAATTGAATATTACATACAGAGGAAGGCTGAAATGTACAGCAACAACAACAGTACGTAATGCCAGAGTTTAGATACAGCCATGACCAGAGGCTATCTTGAGCACCTCCAACGCTTGTAAGCATCCCATGATGCCTGGAACTTAAACATACGCGGAACATGTTACTAACAAACAGTAGTTAACAGGCTTGAGATGCTGGAGAAAGTTTCTACACAGCTAATGGGTTCTGAGCTTTCCCACTCCTCGACTTACCCACTCCTAACACTCCTCCATCAGAACAATTTGTCACTGTCTCTGGGGGTGGGGGTACTGGGTAAAGACATCTGTAACAAGGGCCTCCATCATAGTTATATAAGGTCAACTACAGACAAGACAAAAAAAAAAAAAAAAAACAACAAACTTTCAGGATGTGAAGAATGTTGATTTGCAAAATGAAAATATCTTACCTGTCCCTCCATTCTGAGAGCGCTTGCTGATACTAGAGGCTTGCCACTCAGCACACAGGCGTCATTGACAAGATAACGAGTGGGGACGTTGTCTGAACAATCAGCCACAATGTCATATATGAAATCAGTGAAGTCAAGGCATGTATACAATGTTACTTCATAAGTCACCAAAAACTTGAGTGAACAGGATACTGTTGAATGAGTTGCAAGGCGTTCTCAGGTGAAAGCTGCAGGTGGTAAGGAACACACTCAACTGTTGAGTTCAACCTGTGAGATTACATTCAATAGTACAACACAACAACAAGGTAAAAAAAACTAAATTCCATAAATCTCACATCACATAATACATTTGGATAAATCCACAAAGTATTGTGGAAACTCTGAAGTCAAATGCCCCCTGAGATTGTACAATTCAGAATTAGGAAAAATGTCACACCGGAAGTCAAATCACTGGTGTGTATGAGCAACACCTTCAGCATACTGTATCTTGTGAGGCTTGTGTTCTTTTGTGCCATCGCAGGTTACTAGTGAAGCAAAGAGGAAAATATTTCTTAAAAAAAAAAAAAACTGTACAGTTAATATACGTTTTATGATGGTGGTATTTTGGTCGTTGCATAATTTCTGAAAAGATTTCCAAATCCAAACAAACCCGAGGTCGTACCACCTTGGAATGAATTATGTTCAACCTTAAGACATTCTACTGTAAATGGAAGCTGCTGTTCCTGTGGCTTCCTAGCGGTAAAATGGTACCCCCGTGGTGAACGCCAAGCCATGTGTATACTAAGCACAGTGGGGGGCAAGAGGCCACCAAAAGAAGCTGCCTGTGAAATAACATGTTTACACAATATTTGCAGACTGGAGTCAACTGCACACCCAAATATAACCTGTGGCGAGACTGGAAAGCGCCTTGTTTACGTTACACAGACACCATCAGGGCCACAAATGACAGTTCAATAACACAAATTATCTAATGTTTACAAATAACTAACAAAATAGCAACTGCCTAATTTGAGAATTGCGTTTGGAAAGTTTAATGTACATTACATGAAAGATCCAAACACAAAATAGCTGACACGCATGTGCATTACACATAAATGTGTCACCTTCTAACTGCATTGGCTGCAGACCGAGCTTTAGTCTGACCCTGGTTCTCCTCCCCATGTAGCACTTGTCGATGCAGATTACTGAGCTCCACCTCATCATAGTCCAGTAGACCCAAACGCCCTGTGGAGAAACAGATGGAATAAATCAATGCCAAAGCCTAATAGCAATAGAGAACCATGTAAACGAGTGACATTTGCTATGCAAAAATGTGTGACTTGAAGTGAGCCCTCTGAAGTCAAATGCCCAAGGTGCACATTTTCAGTAAAATAAGCCTCTCAAATCATCAGCGTTTTTGCCCTTGTCATGCGTGATGTTACACAAGGTGTCAGCCTATTGTGCAAAACTTTGGCATAACTCATGTGAGTTTAGCTCAGCTTCAAGGGATTAACATTCTTTGGATTTTTGTTGTTTTTATTCCAAAAGAAACAGCAGCCTCAACCAGGTGTTAAAAGACCAACAAGAGAAGACACAACTATAAGCATGATAAAAAAAAAAGATTTATGTTACTCCTCCATTATTTGTCATGTGTTACAACTGAGAATGTATTGTTTTGACCTCTTAATACAGTATAGTAATGTCCATCTCTTCTAATGGGCCTCGTTGGAGTAAATTATGATCGTCTTCTCACTTAACCTTGATTGTCAAAGGACATTTTATTTTCTGTTATGTATACTGAGAGCCAAATTGGGACCACTGTTTGCTTTGGTAAAATTTAAGTACGCTAGTCGATCACATACCTATACCCGCTGCTGCTAGATACTGAGCCAGAGGACAGCCCAGTCCTCCACAACCTACAATCAGTACGGATGTCTTGAATAGGTTCAGCTGTCCTGTGGACAAATCAACCGGTGACCCCACTGGTGTGTTTTGTCGTGCCATACTCATTCTCTGGCGTGAACAGAGGAATTGTTACCTTGCACACCCAACTCTGGTAGAAGGAGCTGCCTGCTGTACCTCATGATGTCTTCATTGGAGAGAGCTGCTTTGGCTTTTAGTGGAGTGAGCGGAGTCACTCTGTCAAGTAGCTGCGGGACTGAAGTGCTGTTCTTCTGGAACACAAAATAAAATAGTAGCCTCGATACTCTGACTCACTAATTAGCGTGACGCGTAGTGCAATGGAGACCAAGTGACCTGCTTTCAAATTCTAAATTCAAAAAACGAATCTCATAAATGTGTGTTTGGTAGATTGTTTTTATGATGTAAGATTGCTTCTTAGCGCAGTACTAGTGTAGTGATACATAATGCTGCCCTTCATACAGACTGTGCAGATTCAACAATTTACTCATTTAACACTCAGGAGCCTCAGTAGCATGTATAAGAACCCTAAACTGCAACAACAGCCTGGCACCTCATCCTTATGCTGGTCACACACTGCAGTAGGATAGCATCCCATTCTTCAACCAGCATTTGTCACAACATAGCTGTGTTGAGAATAGTATGCCCAAGCTGATTCCAAAAATGTTCGTTGGAATTGAGGTCTGGATATTCCATCCTCTTCACTCCCAAATCTAGAGATACAGCAGTCTCAGATGAACACATTACATGTTTGCCAACTGCCATTGGATTGTAGGGTCAAACATGTTCACAATCGAGTGAAGGCAGCTATGAGACTGGAGAATGGCTGTATGCAATGTGTTCAGGATTGTCTCGTCCATGGGCGTCATTAGGCCTATTTTAGGGAGGCTTCAGCCTCCCTAAAAATGTCTTTAGCCCCCCTAAATAATTTCATTGCATTATTTAAAAAAAAGTATTATTTATTTTTCCTGTACTTTTGCTAATATATTGCATCAAATTCAATGTAATGTGGCCATTTTAAATTATATTTCGATACCCTGCCATTATTGTAATGTTAAATCTCCCAGGTTTCCTGAATGCAACAGGTGTTGCGTTAGCATTTGACCTGTCTGTCACCATCGCCACATCAAATGCTAACGCAACAACTGACAGTTCATTGCCGAAAGTCAGGTTGAGTCGACAGCATGGATATTCGACAGTTTTT